CCCGCCCCGCCCCGCCCTCAACGGCCGCGCCCTCAACCGCCCGCCATGCTGCCCTGCCCTGCCCTGCCCGCCCCGCCCCTGTCCTCGTCAGCGCACTCTTTGAGGAGGCGGTAGACAAGTGGTTCCTCCCCATTTCCACCTCCTGGCTCCCTGCGAGATCAGGGCCATCACGCGCACGCCACGGGCGTAACAAACAAAGGGGATCTCCGTGCCTGCAGGTGCTTGTCGTGCATCGTTTTCTTCCTGGTCCAACGTCTGACGGCCCATCAGCGAGTTGCGGTGTCCCTTCCCTTCCCTCCTGGCCGTAAGCCCTCCGGGCTGTCCTCTCGAGTAGGCTTACCTCCCTTAGTCTGCGAGATCCTGTCTCATCTGCGTGCCTTAATCCTTTCCTGGCTTTCCTGGCTCTCAGATTTAGCTGGCCGGCGATGGGGTGGAAAGGAGAAGGTCTCTCTCTTTTCCCTATCAATAATTTCTCAATAACTTTATTGCTGGCTCTGCAGCCTTTGTTTGCTAAATGTTTATCCAGAACAAGAGGGAAAGCATGCTTCTCAATGAAAATACGCTGGTTTTGAAAAGGGAAATAGCAAATACAGTGAGATCAAGATTTTTTTTTTTTTCAAGTTGCAGGAATGACTAGGAAGATAGCCAAGAAACAGATGAAAAGATGAAGAAAGTAATAAAGGAAGACAGAAGAAAGTCACAGCTGAGTTGCCAGATTCAGTCTGACAATACTGACATTTTGAGTAGAGGAGAGGAAACAATATTTTACTCTGAGCTTCTTTGTGAAAATTTTGATTAAACTGGAGTCATATTAAGATATCACATAAGTGAGATATAATTGAGCATGCCCCATCACATAAGTAAGAGAAATCTTATTTATAGTAAGAGATTACTACTGCTGATTGCTTTCGTAGTGTCTTGCTAGAGGCCCATGAGATGAGCTCATGGTGGCAGGTAAAACCAGGTATCTCAGCAAATAGAAAACTCCTGCAATTCAGTTTTCCTCCTAATATATGTTGCATGGTTTCCCAGGACAGGTAGACTGAACCTTCCTTTTTGCACCTGCCCTGGATTCCTGTCAAAGCTGAAGTGTGCTCTGATCTGGGCTCAAACAGCTCTCTCTCATCTCTGCTTGACCAAGACTATGCTGTGTGCCACCGCCAGCCAGAAACTGAAGGGCGGTAAAGGGGATATTTATGGGGTCAAACTGGGGTTTCAGAAACAAAGGACCCAGCACTGAGTGGAAAAATCATAGGAGCCATTGTAAATACTCGTTTTTCTTCCAGCTTGTGCTATTACTTGTTTTTGACCCTAACTATAAATGCCTAGTTTGAGAATAAACAAATTCTAAAGCAGCACTTATGCATTTTTATCTCAGTTGCAGTTTGTCTCAACAAAATCACTTGAAACACATTCCCTTTAGTACATGTATAACTTTTTCTTATGCAACAGGCTTGAAATTTAAGATTCATTATTTAAGAACTCCTTTTAAAAGTGTGCTTTGAATGCTCTCATCAAACCTGAGTCTTCTGACATTCAGTAATTTGCTTTGTGTTCAGCCCAGACTATCAGAGAAAGCCAAACATATCACATCTGTTTCCACTGGAGACCTGTATCACATCAATAATGCAGTATCACCAGACTCTCCCTGAAAGGCTCCTGTGTTACAGAAAGGAGGAGAGCAAGAGTGAGATTTTAAAGGGCAAAGAGCTCTTTTCCCTATCTGAGTCATATTTTCTATTTCTGTCAAACCATTTTATTTAGCTATTTTTTTATACAACGGCCTTTCCATATTTTCATCGCTGAGGTTCTGAGTGATCAGGCTATCATCACATTCACTGTTTTTGAATTACTCTTAGCAAAATGAGTTGTATATGAGGCTGAGTGCTGAAAAAAAAGAATATTTTTTTTTTGGACAAAAAGCTGCTAAGGGTGTTGTTACGCAGTAGGTAGCACTGCAATCTTAATTTGCTGTACGTGGTAAGAACCAGTCCTACAGCTGCAGGCCAAATCCCTTAGAGCAAGTTACCATGCTGAGTT